CTGCTGAGAGCCTCAGATCCTGCCTCCCCTACCACCTCCCTCTGCAGCCCTGTCTGGGAGGGCTCCCACAGCTCCAAAAGAGAAGAAGCCTGTGCCCTGTGGTTGACGGGGAAAGGATGTGGAGAACTCAACTGACAAAATGTGGGTAAAAAAAGCTCATTGTGTTTTGACTGGGAGAACAAAAGGAGGATCTGGAAGCAAGAGAAACTCTCCTAAGAACTGAATTGATGTGAAAAGGTCCTGCTAAGGGAACTCCACCTATAATTGCTGTCGGCTTCACTTGCTGCACAACCTCTTCCAGCGTGTTCACACTGGGGTGGTCCTGGGCAAACATTTCTTTCTCATGGTTCAGGTTGCTCCTGCCCTGTGAGGAAAAAGGAGGAGTCAATCTTTGGTCTGTTGACAAAAGGTGGATACATGACATAGTAACTCATCAGTTCATTTTATCTCTTGCCCCTCTACCTAAACCAGATTCCGCAGAGCAGGACCTCAGCATCAGCTCGTCAGGCACTGAGCTGTTGGTGTAATGTCACATGGGGCTGGTCTCTGCTCCTCTCACCTTCCACAATACACCAGTTGTGTGGAGGAAGGGTCTGGCTGCCAGGGCAGAGAGGTTGTATAGGTAGCACAAGTCTCCTCAAGCCTGAGAAGTGGGGAGGGCTGAGGCCTTGGGGACCCAGGGAGCTGGACCAGGCTGGATCACCCAGCAGGGCACAGTGTTGCTGCTGTAATACCCCATACCACATGCAAGACTTCCAGCAGTGCTTGAGACCATGGCCAGCAGCGTATCCTACCACACTGGAGGCCCAGCACAAAGCACTTCCTTTAGGGCAGCCAGTGCTGCCGGTACACTGTTGTCACTGTTACCACCATGAGACCTAGCCCTCCGAAAGCAGGAACCAAACAGCTCTGCTGACACCAAACTGCAGCCCTGGCTCCAGGGCTGAGCAGGGGTCTAAGGTATCTGCCTGCTCTGGCCTGTCGACAGCTTGCAGGAGGTGGTGAGGGGTGAGGGAGTGGAGCTTAGCTCTGGAGGCAACTTTACCTTCACAATCAGTCCCTTGGAGTCCACCATCCAAATTTTTTTGATGGCATCCTCTCGTGAAATTCCTTCCTTTTCCATGGCCATGAGGATGAGATGAGCTATGCCCATGGCAGCCTGGAACACAGTACAGAAACATTTCATTGGGGTATCATCATCTTTTGGGAGGGAATATTTTAAATGAGAGATATGTGGATGTGTGGGGCTGATTTTTGCATTGTAGGTGCTGCCATGAATAAAACCCCCCAGCTGTCCAGCAAAGCAGGCTGCCTGTGAGGCTGGAGCAGTGGAGGTGGCACCTTGACAGGTAGAGGCCATCTCCATCATTTCAACCAGCTGCTGCAGGGAAGGAAAAGGGGCAGACACTGAAAGAATGGTGACGATGCCAGTACAGAGGAAGGGTGGAGAAAGAAAAGTCTTTGTTTCACAGAGGGACAGACAAACAGTGAGTAACAGACCTCCCAAAGTCCCACAGGTGGGTGAGAGCTGAGCCAGGACCTGGACCAACGCCTTTAGTCCAGAGTCTGGGCTTTAGCGACTTTTTCCTCCCCCTCTCTCTTCGAGCAAGGCACCATAGAGACTAGCTGACTTCTGCCATGGGGGCAAAATGACTGATGCCAAAAAGTGAGGTTATGTTCTTACAGTTCTTAAAGCCCAAGTCCTCTTGACTCTGTTGCTAAAGAGGCTGTGGTTTACCCTGAATACTAACCCTAGGAATTCCTTAATGTTCCTGCAGCACCCTGCCTCATAAGGGACTTCCCTCAAGGTACTTCAAGCCCCTGTGACATGGGCAGCCTCATAGCACCCAGAAAGTCTGCCCAGGGTTTGTGGGCCAAGAGGTCACTCAAAGGCTGTTGGCAACGTCTATGCAGCAGCCCTATCTCCCGCTGGTGCCCACTCCTGCGCAGCGACAAACAACATGCTTCTGTGCTTCGTTTTCACGAAGCCAAGCCTCGCAGGAAGTTTCAGGGTTGACTTCTGTCTCTCTAAATTAGAATTCAGATCGTATTTAGGAACAGACTCAAGAACATTCCTACCTCTCCAGCTCCTTGGAAAACAAACTTATGGTCAGAGAGCTTGTTCTTTGTGATCCTTAGGGCTGCAAAGATGCCAGCGACTGCAACAGAAGCAGTGCCTGAAAAGAGAGAAACACCATGAGATGGACATCCTGGCAAATGGATTGTCTACCTTACTGATATGCTGTTAGAAACCTTGTGGTAGGAACCATTCTCTTAGATCCTGTCACTAAAGGATCAGAGTGCCTTCCCTACTTGGAAGTATTAATCTTCAGAAGACCCCTGCAAGACAGGAGAGCACCAATTTCCCTCTATATAGAGTCAAAGGGACACTGAATCCTAGAATGCCAGAAGTTAATACCTAACTCCCAAGGGTTTAAAATGCATGTGACTCGTCTAAGGTCTATATAAGACATTGCTAGCAGAGTGGTTGTTGGAACTTGGGCACCCTTGTCACAAAACCTTCTGTGATCATGGAATTACCATTCTCTTCTCACTTACCTCTACACCACAGTACCACCTTCTCTTCTTTTACTTCCTTGATACTCTGACACCCTGACTCAGAGCCATCATGCCTCACTGCCACGCACTGCCTACGAGGAAGCTGGGAGGGGACTTCTTACAATGGCCTGTAGTGACAGGACAAGGGGAAATGGGTTTAAATTGAAAGTGGGGAGGTTTAGATTGGACATCAGGACGAAATTCTTCCCAGAGTGGGTGGTGAGGCACTGGAACAGGTTGCCCAGAGATGCTGTGGATGCCCCATCCCTGGAAGTGTTCAAGGCCAGGCTGGATGAGGCTTTGAGCAACCTGGTCTAGTGGAAGGTGTCCCTGCCCGTGGCAGGAGGGTGGGACTAGATGGGCTTTAAGGTCCTTTCCCACCCAAACCGTTCTGTGATTCTGTGACTGAGACCATGAGCTGGTTCCAGATTAGTGAGAAAGGATCCAGTATATGGAGAGAAGAGTCCTGCTGTTACCGTCACCGTGATACGTCCAGCTTTCCATCCACCAAGGGAGGCAGATGCCTAGAGTTAATAAACCTGCCTTCACCCCACATCAATCACAGACTATTCACCTAATGTCCTGTCCCACGTGAAAGAATATGGGGAGAAATCGAGTAAGGACAGACTAATGAGGATTCAGGCACTGGTGGTATCTCAACCTGGTCAAGCTGGATACAAGGTGAGCTAGGAATGAAGGAGGCAGTTTTATCACAGAATATCTCAAGCTGGATGGATCCATAACAATCATCAAGTCCATTAGTTTTATTTCTCAGCAATTTAAATGATACCAGCTCCGATGTGTCCCAGCTGTGATGCTGTCCCCAGCTCTAATGTCAGCCTCTCCATTCTCATCTTTAAAAGCTTTGTGAGAAATCAGGGAGCCCACAAGCAACAAGTCTTGTGGGTGGTCATGAGTGGGGCAGATAATAAACCCTTTTAGGCTAATAACCCGATTTCACTGAATTTCCAGCATTTCCTATTTTACTCCCCATTTCATCAGCCAGTGCATCAGTGAGAGCCCTCTCAGGGTCCTTAGGGCCTGGGGTGCTGCCAGGCATCAGGGAACATTCCGGCTGGGAGCTGAGAGTGGATGCTGAGCCAGGCATGCCCACGAGATGTGACACCAGCAGATGGGGCTGTCTCCTCTCTCAAGGGCCAGGAGCACAAATCCAGCATTTCCTTTAGTGCAAAAGCCACAGCTAAACTACACATCTACTGGCACATCAGGGCATGATTTACTCTGTCGTTATTTCCATGCAAGCACAAAACCTGGTGGGAGCACGGTTACTCTGGCAGAGCAGTAGCTTTTATTGGCATGACTTATCTTGCTTAGGGAACTGATATAAGCTGCTCTGACAGAAAATACTGGCCAGACCTGAAGAGTTTAGCAGTGCCATTAGCTCATCAATTTTTTTCTTGCTTCTCCTGCACTGAGTATCTCCCTTTTAAAGCTGTATTTAGAGTAATGCATTTACGGGGCGAAACGCCATGCCAGAGGACTAGAAAAGTCACAGAGAAAGATAATGAACATCTAAGGAACTTAAAGGAACACCAGATAATTGCCCAGGTTTTAGATTTTGCTTTTTCCGGGTGTCGCATAGCTAGCCCGCGCTCTTTTTCTGTGTTTCGGTAAGTCTGTAATCAGCAGGACTGCTCGGCTTGCTGCTGTGCCAGGTGCTAGGGATGGGACTCCTCTGAACAGACAGGTATGATCCTGCTCCTGCCACAGCAGAGACCCAAACTGGGTCAGATGAAATGTACCCTAAGAGTGCCACTACCACCACCGTTTTTTAAGAGAGACAAGGGAACTGGAATATATGTAGACACCACTGAAGCCATCTGAACTGTGGGGGAAGGGATCCCACCCTGACAGCCTGAACTGCAAAGTGGGGGGAGAGCAGGGTCCCACAGTTGTCAGTGACACCAGGATTGGCACATGCAGCAGAATATGAACATCTACGCTTATGCTGACACATGCTCACATCTCCCTGGCTCAGTTTGCACAGAAATGCCCAAATCCCCGTGGGAGTGGGGAACTGATCAGAGGAAAACCTCCAAAAGTGGAACAATTACAGTGTGACAGTGTAAGGGTCACGTCACTGCATTAGATGTGCAATAGATGCCTGGAAAGTATTTACAAGAAATCAGTGTAACTGGAGAAATACCTCATTTCTCTTGGTCCTGACCAAGGCAAAATTGCTTTATGCTTGTCAAGAAGCTTGATGGGACAAACGCTGGTATCTGCAAACCCTTTTAAATGGAAAATGGTCATGGGGCAGTCAGCAAAAGGACTCGAGATCTTTTTAAAGAAGTTACTCGGGGCAATTTGAGAAGTGGGGCGTACGGAAAGAAAGGGTGCACAGATCCAGTCTGCATTTTGCAGAGCAGAGACCTGTGGGACTGGGTGTGCCGTTACTCATCCCCCTGCACTTGAGCTCTGACTAACAGCAGGACTCTGTTCAGCTCTGCCGTTCCTAATCCTTCTCCTCTTTCTCCAATGTGTTTCTAATCCCTCCACGTCTCCCGGACTGCATCTCACCCTCATTACTCAAGTAACAAAGTTACTGTACCTTGGCCTCAGGTCAATATTTTGCTTTGATAATTACATTTTCTGAGCATGGAACAATAGAGCATCTCTATGGAGAAGAGTTCACAGCTGGTTCATGTAAGGAATTGGCTGATCATCGCGCTTCAATTCCAAAAAGACCACAAAAAAAGATGGGGAGGGGGGCCCCCACTGTGAGTTGTGTCAAGAAAAGAACAACCACCCTTCAACACGTTGGTTTATCTGTTTTCTGACGAGACTGAATGCTGCTGTTGCAGATAATTACTTCCTTCAGTAATTAGCAAGAGCCAGCTTGGCTGGTCTGTATGAGAGGTGAGATACGGAGGGGCAGAGAGAGAAGAAGGGAAAACGCTCGGAAATCATTCTGTCTGTCCAAGCCTCAAAGCGAACGCTCAACATAACATCACAAAATAGCAAGCAGACCACGACAGCCCCTCTGGGGAGTCAGAGCAGCAGGACCAGTGAAGAAAAGAGGCATGTAAACTAAGGTACACTCAGGAAAATGGCCATCCCCGTAGGAATTAATCTGACACTTGGGAGCACTCGGAATACTGTAAAACATTAAGGAAGCCCGCTCCCAGGTTGATGTTCCACTTGCACTAGAGTAAGTAAGAACAAGCCCCAGTAGATGTCAGTGGAGCTACACTGCAGCAGAACCCGGGAAAAAGCTCTGCTCCAGGGCTACAAGACACTGCTCAGATGGAAAAGGCTGCAGGCTGTGCCCCAGGACCTTACCCATCCTTTGGAGCGGCTTTGCACATGGAGTTAGGGGCAGCGCAGCATGAGTGCAACACGGAAGTGCTGCCCAGTGCCCATGTCACGGATGTACGGCGGTGACAGCACTCAGTGGCTAAGCAGGGATGTGGGGGGCAGGAGTCCCCCCATACGGGGGGCTGGCACTGCCCCGTCCCCTGGCCTGGGCGCTGGCTGGTGGAGCAGAGCATCACCACCACGCCAAACCCTTCCGATGGCAGCCGCGGTGGGAGCACGCAGCCACACCGCTGCCCGTTTCACACAATGCCGTGTGGGTGATTCCCCCTTCTCCACAGCACCACTGGTGGAAGTGGTGGCCACATTCAGCCTGATCTTTAATTTTATACCCTTGCCCTGCCTGCTTACACTTCACCCCTTCAAAACCATGCCAAGATGAGGGCCCAGGGAACAGCAAACACCAGCTTAACAGCTCCAGCAAAGGGCAGCCAAGAAAACATATCTAAATTTATGGATGCAGAGGAAGCATAGGGATTTTCCAAATCCTGGTTCACATTAACTCCCTGCAGCAGTTCTGCCTGTTACTGGAAAGCAGAGTGGAGCTTGTCCAGATCCACTCCAAATATATAATCAAAAGTCAAGCACAACAAGGCTGAAGTAAAAAGCTGCCAAAGTGTTTGCAGGTCAAGGTCTTCACCTCCACGGCTGCGGGCTAGCGTTAGGCCTTCTCCCAAAGGGCCTCTGCAAGACATCAGGAAAATAAACCTAGAAATGGTGTGGAGCAAGTCAACGGGAACAGCAATACAACGCAAAGCATCGATGCTCGGGGAAGGAGCTCGCTTTCTCCACTCACAGGCTTAGGGACACTGGTGACCAAAAGAAGCGGTGGTATGGTGAGAGCTCTCTGACCATGGAGATGCAGAGCTCATCTTAAAGCAGAAACCCAATGTAGGTCACCTCCAGGTGCCTGTTTTCAATCCTTCCACTGTAAAGTGCTTGGATTATACAGTGCAGTGTCTTAAAAAGATGTCACAGCGCTGGCCTGCACCTTGCTCCTGCCTGCGCCACGTGCCGACCGGCACACGGGCTGTACCAACCGGCAACTGAACCCCCTCGCCCATGCAGGCAGAGGCTACTAGGCAGCTGCCAGCATTTTGCAAGACAGCATCCCAGTCCCCAGAGAAACAGTGGAGACCCTCTGGATGCTGTTTCATGACAACAAGCTAAGCCAGGTCAGAGCTCAGCCCTGTTCTTCTGTTCATTTTGCCTCCTTAGCCTGGACTTCAAGATCACAGACAGCTTAACAGAGGTGACTTAGGCTGTTCTCTACTGCAAAGGGGAAGTTTGCAATGGCATCCAGTGAACAAGAAAA